CTAAAATACTAATAATTTAGGAAAGATAAAGTCTTAACTTATTATTAATTTCTCTTCTTTTTCTAAGAAAAGCTAGACTTTTTTAGGTATTTTAATAACTATAAAAATATAAGTTTAATTTCTATATACTTTTATAAACTAATAAGGCTTTAATTATTCTATTTTCTTCTTTTTATATTTAAACTACTATTATTTCTGCTATAGAGCTAATATAATTATATTTAATAATAATACTAAGGATCCTAATTAATAATAATATAAAAATATAAAAACTCTTATTTAGTTCTCTAAGAATTATATATAGTAATTAGAATAATCTATATATTATAGATAAGGATACTTTATTAATCTATTATTTCTAAAAGAAGAATATTATACTTAGCTAAATTAAAATAATATTTCTAGATAAATTTATAACTAATAAGATTTATCTCTATATAGATATTAATATCTATATATATTTTAATATTATTTTAAATATAAATTATAATATAGAGATAGATACTTATTCTTATTTAAAACTAAAATTAGAATTTATAGAAGCTAGTTTAATTTTTATACTTTTCCTAAGTCTTTTAACTAAGTATTATTATAATAATACTAAGGTTTTAAATAAACTTTCTAAATCTTTATCTTTAGGGCTTTTAGTAATATATAATATTTACTTATCTAATAATTTAGCTTATTATAGTTAAAATAATTATTTAAAAGAATTCTAATAGATTAGTTAATCTCTCTAATAAATATATTATTTAGATTATTATTATTTTAAGAAAAAAATAGATAAGAATTATTACTAAGATAAAGAAGATTTAGATATAAGTTAGAGTTATTTTAATTTAAATATAAATTAGAGTTATTTTATTTTTAGGTTAGTTCTAAAACTATAAAGATTTTTTAAATATAGATTTTTAGGATTTTTTTAATCTTATTCTTTACTATTAGATTAGTTTAGAAATAAGTTATTAAATTATAGATAAGTTAAGCTTAAATTATAATTATTATTAAATAGATTATATTTATATATTTTTACTTTACTAAATTTCTAAATACTCTATATTTTTTCTATTTATTATACTTAAGTTTTAGAAAAAAAAATCTTTATATATTATTAAATATATAGTATTAACTATAGCTATAGTTTTAATATATAATAATAAGCTTATTTATTCTAGAAGACCTAAGAAAGATAGTATTCTAGATCTATAAAATAGTAGTAAAAGATCTTTAGTTTTTATTAGATTATTAATAATAATACTCTATATTATTATTAACTTCTTTAATAAAAGTATTTTTATTATATATTAAAATAAAATCTATTCCTTAAAGTATTTCTAGTTACTAAAATAATTATTATAATTATCTTTAAAGTATTTCTTTTCTATAGTCTAATTATTTTTATAGTTAGAATTAAGATATTTAATTTCTATAAAGATCTTTATCTCTTTATTCTTATAGACTTTTAGATTATCTTAGAAAATATATCTAAGTTAAAAAAGCTAGTTTCCTTACTTCTAAAGACTAAAGAATCTTTTAAACTTATTAACCTTAAAACCCTCTACTTTTTTATACTTTTTAGTCTTAGTTCTTTTATAATTTATAGATAGATTATCTAAAAAGACTTAAATAGAAAGCTCTTTAATATAAGTCTAAATTACTAAGAATACCTTAAGATACTTTAGTTTATATTTTTTCTTTTCTAGACTATCTATATTAATATTTCTAAGGTTAGTAATACTTTTAGTTATAGATTTACTTATACTTTTTCTAATCTATATTCTATAAAAGAAAGAAGATAATATACTAATATTATATATAGTAGCTCTATAAATAAATATCTAATCTAGCCTAGGTTTAATAGGGTTTTTATACTAATCTAAATCTAATTTAATCTTAGATTAGATAGTAGAAGAAAAAAATATAGTAACTTTAGATTATATACTACTATAGGAGAATATAGGGGCTTAATATATAGAGGATACTATCTTTAATCTTTAGATAGTTAAGAAAGAAAAATTAGAATTATAATAGTTACTAAGTTATTAGGCTAAAGATCTATAATTAGATAAGGATATTAGATAGTAGAGATTAGATTAGATAGTTAATATAGAGACTAATTCTTAAGAAGATTAAGAATCCTAAATATATATAGGATCTTAAATATATTTAGGGTTCAGGAAGATATTAATATACAGATAACTCAAAGGGGACTCGTCTATAAATCAGCCTTAAGAGTCTGGGGTATTGTATACTTTGGATCCTGTGACACTTACTATTTTACTTATTAAATTTCTATATAGGCTTTTTACTAGTAGGCTGTCAATAAAGATTAGGCATCGCCATAACCCATTTTGGGTTAAAGAACCTGACCCAAAACCTAACCTACTGGGTTTTGGGTTATAGGGGCTATAACCTAACCTAACCCAAAACCTAATAGGTTAAACCTAATAACCTAGTAGAGACCTATTTTAACCTATTTTAACCTATTTTTACATAATTTATTTATAATTTTTATGTAATATATTTTAATACTTAATTTATATCCTTTTTCTAGAAGGATCTAGATACTAGGGTTCTACATATATATATATATAGTATTAATTATTATATATTCAAATTTTAGGACTAAAATAGGTACCCACTGGGCTTATAAATGGGTTATAGAATTAGACCTAAAACCCATTTTGGGTTGGGTTAGATTGGTTTGAGTCCGGGTTATAGTGGGTTCTGGCGATGCCTAATAAAGATTAATATACTGTATATTAGTCTAAAGCTTCTATTACTTATATAATATAGGTTCAACCTCTTAATTAAGAGCTTTAACCTTTTACTCTGCTTAGCGTTTTTTAATAGTAGTTTTAGGGTACTAACAGTAATAAGGACCCTTATTATTATAGGAAAAATAACCCTAGAATATAAATTCAGACGTACCTTTCTAACGCTTACGGATACAAGAGTATATAAAAGCTTTATCTTTAGAACGCTAGATACAATAGCCACTATAGCGGTATAAAAGAACTACTAAGGTCTTATCAGAGAATATTATATTCTTCTAATCTTTAAGAGTCTAATACTTATAGGCTAAGTACTAAGCTAAACGCTTAGTATAGATCTTCTTTGTTAGTCTAGGCTTCTTTGTTGCCTTTGTTTTTATAAGACTGCTAGGATCTTACTAGGCTTAGGGGAATATAGATAAAAGAGGAATAATTATAGATAGTTGATTTCTGAGTAATCAATAAGATAAAGGATTTGGTTGCTTGATTATAGAGGATTCTAATTGTTGTGTTGATTGTTATGTTGTGTTCTGATTATTTTCTTGTTAAGTGTAACAAACTGGTGTTGTTACCATTCGTGGATGCCTTATGCCTACGGCACCACTCTAGGCATCCACGCCATACACCTGTGTATCTAGCCTTCTATCTTGGCTTCCTTCTTATTCTCCTCAAGCTATTACTTTCGTCGAACGCCACTACTTCCTTTGCTTGCTACGCTACGCCGTATCCTGATCTCTGTGAGTACCTGAGCTCCTCACAATGATCAGAGAAAGGCATATGTTTAGCAGCACGTCAAATATATATTATCGTAACTGACACACAAGAATTTCTAACACCTGATATTAACTAGCCACCTATCGTTAACCTGCTAAAAGGCTATAAAATATATCATTACCTCTATCAAGAGTCACGTATACAAATCAATAACTATTGATTTCATTGAATTTGTGGCAAAAGAAATATATTCGAAGATGATTGTAACCATGACAAGGTTATATAACAGTAATCTATTAGCATGAATCAGCAGGGTTATGCATGCCAAGACCTTGATTTTATGTAAAAATGGGTTTTCTTGGGGCCCCAATAGGAACCGCAGTGGTTCGTGGGTTAGGTGCGGTTTGAGCAGTTTGCTGCGGTTTGGTTTTTGGTTTTTGGTTTGAAACCATTTGCTGTTTTTGGCGCAGTCTATATGTGATGACTAATTTGCATTGGAAACACAGATCTCGCTGATGGCTATGCTTTAAAGGTAATCAAGTACCGAAAATCCATAGATGTACTTTTAACAGCTGCATCACCTTTTTCCACTGGCATTCTATCTTTCAGTGCTTTCTCCGAGCCTCTCGTATCGTATCTTCGTATCTTTTTTTCTCCCGATAGATGTCGTCTTATCATGCCGACTCATACACAAATAGACATTTTGCCAATCAGAAAATTGATGACTCAAGTTCATTATCACAAAAGTACTAAGGTCATGCCTAGTGTGAAACGCGAAGACCGCCCGCCGACGGGCGGCATTGCCGCCTCAGCCGCATACGAAAATGCTGGATACAAAATTTTTAGAGTCCACAAATGATATTTAGTGACTTGCGGCTACGATTTTTGATTCGTAGGACAGCTTAATTCATGGAATTTGGTGGCAGTGATACGGCTATTCGTAGGCCGCACAATCCGCACAACCCGCAACACCCGCGGCCATGTTCCACTCAAATTCACAGAGCGGATATTGTAGTATTGATCCCCGGATGACACATACAGATCGGCATTAAGGTATTGGTAATTCAATTATTTCTGTTGCTAGTGTGGAAATGCAACCAGATGAATTTCCGGCCATGTTTTATAAGAGGGGTGCTTCAAGATGGGCTTTTCCAAATTAACTCGCAAGATGCTGCCCCGATAGTGAACGTAGTGGTCAAGCAAGCAATATGTATACGGTATAAACGAAATGCTTTTTCATGTTTCGCTTCTGCTTAATTAAATGTACCTACTGTTTGGCGCTTGCTGCTAAGGGACCTCGCGATTTGCAACATAATTTCAATACTAGAGCCCTTGCAGGCCCACTTTTCAAGTATTGAGACTGCTAAAGTTTCCAGCTCTTCGATATCAGAGACGTATTCCACAAGGAAAGGACAAAGAGACGCGACTGTCAGATTGATAATGACAGCAAGTGTTCTACGGTCAAAGTGGTACTTATGAGTTCACGGAGTCCGAGAATGAGACAGGCAGTACTTACGAGTGAAGATTAATCAATGTGAAAGGAGATGGAACCCTTGTAAGCGATGAGACGAGCCGCAAGAATTTACGACAATGATTTATGCAGCTCATGGCAGGCTCTATGAGGGCTTCTTCTGGGATCCAGCCTTGGGGCATCGAACACACTTTATAAAGGAAAGGACGGAATATAATGTCGCCGCAAGCCCAGAAACGCAACATCAGGTCTCCCTGGTGAGCATCTGGGTCAAGATCATCCGGTTCAGGCTTGATAGGTTGCGGAAGAAGATCCCACCACAGGTACAATTGGTGGTTGAGCTCTGCTGAGATGCCGATAAGAACATTTGCATTGGCTGAGTCCAGTAGTGAGTCCAAAATATGCCCATGGCAATTATTTAAATCGCTGCTTGCGGTGTTGTAAACAGTGAAATGAACACAGTTCATTAATCGGCGAGCGGATAGGTTCGCAAGCCAGGCAAGAACGTGAAGGTCGGGATTCGGGCCACATTTTGGATAAGGTATTCTTTCCACGACGTTCTCGATTCCACTTCGGGGAAGATGGTATTCCGCAAGGATATCACTGTCATCGTGAGTTCAGGGCCTTCTGATAACAGGCTTCCGCTTGTAGAAATTGCGTAAGGAACATACCACTCCATGAGGAAAATAGCCCAGCATAGTCGCACAAGATTCTGAGAAACTTCTACTTCTTGACTTTCATATCTGCATAGAATACGAATCAGTATTGGTAATGTGTGATCGCGATTAAGCAAGCTTACTGTAGAAATACATGTTGTATGTTAGTCGATGCCATGTGTATCATACGCCATGCTTGCAGGGGTCTGCAGAGGTAGTTGTACCACGATGCTGCCAGATATAGAGCCTGGCATAGTTCCATATCTGTCTCACAGTATGATGGCCACACTCGGAATAGAAATTGAATTGCTGGTCGAGCAAACTCGATCCCTGGCGATACGCCGTCTTTCATGACCTGGGGCGAGGCTTGAGAGATACTTGCCAGCGTCAGAACCATCAATACCAAAGCTATTTTCGTGCCTGCTGCACCTGGTACATCAGTTGAATTATCAGTAACATCAAAGGTTTCTTGCTCAAGAACCGGATGCCTAGGATTTACAACGGCAAAGTAGATGTTCACCAACTCTGCAGTACATGATGTGTCCAAGGGCAACGCCAACTGGTCGGCCAATGTATCCTTGCGCGGTGCAAACTCTTCTGGTTGCTTTCGCTTTTGCTCTCTTCGTAGCAACATGTCCTTTGGATAGTCACCCAGTAGTGCTTTCAACTGTCGCGAGCGTAGAAGATCTTCAGAAGTTGATCCATGTGCGATAGGAATCGGCATGGGCATCAACTCATTGAAGCGAGAAAATGTCGAGCCTCCTGGGGAAGGATTGACCAACTGTACTGGAGTTGCTGGCGTGTCGTACGCAGTCAATGAAGCATTGCCAGGTCGTGACGTGCTATCTTCCAGATTTCTTAGCTTGTCTTTGATAGCATTAATGGCATCTGAGTGCTCGGCCATGACTGCATCAAGGCGAGTAAGACGGCTGGTCAGTGGGGAATCCGGCCCCACGATGTCTAGGCTGGCGCCAGTTCTGGCTTCCGCTTGAACTGGGAGGCTGATGCCATAGTCACAAATTGTACGATGTGATTGCAGACAAAGTGAGCAGATGGGCTGTCTTCCATCGCAGCGGCGCTTCCTGAATGAGACCTTATCAGCCTTGGTACCTGCGGTCAGGCGGGCGGACCATACCTTTTGCGACAGAAATCACAGGCAATAATAGCTCGCTTTCGAGTGCTTGAAGGGGCGTTAGTGTCACTCATGGCACACTAGCTCGGAGCCTCTGCAAGAAAGCGGGCGGAATTGCTGCACACCCAGGGAGAAGCGCAGGCGGAGAAGCGGCATTCGGTGGACCTTAGTACTTTTGACCAGCTGTCCGGAAAATTGACTGAATTAAACTCGCATGGAGCATTTATGAGATTTCAGATGAAGGGCCAAAGTGTGGAGAAGATTGAAAATGTTTCGTCACTCTGGCTTTCTGGGAATAGCGGGGTACTGATGACACACGGGCGGTGTCACCCGGGCAGTTCTCCGGGGATTCTAGGGGCCTATCACCCTATCGAGTTCATGATAGTAGTGAAGATAACGTTTCTTCTATTTACTGAAGCTTAGCACCACAGCTGAACAGAGAGTTTGTTGAAATCCATGGTGCACCAGGCATGTGATGCCTGATGCTTCAGCATGAATATCGTGATCAGCATTGGACCTTCCATTGATAGTATAGCTCAGGAGAAATGCTCTCTATTGTAGATATGATCTCTCTTACATTTAGAGAGATCAGGCTTAAATAATCTCGCTGGCCTTGACATACGTGCTTCCCCAGTACATTCATCGTATAATTCAACAGAGCTACTACACTCACAACCAAAAGAAGTAAGGTCGTGGTGAAGTGTTGTACGGATATATATTTACTGGGTCTTGGGGACATGGACACTCATCGTATTTTTTATTTATTGCTCACTCTCAGTTATATGTTTCGTTCAAAACACATGAGCGAAGCATCACCGAACGATGGCAAAATATATAGCGCTGCACTAAATGAAAGCGATATGACACCAATGACAAGACCCACAGTCGCAGAGTTTCCAAACGATGCGCCTAAAACGCCGTTCAGAATGCACCCTACAACGCCCGCAATACCCCAATTTACCAAAACTCGACCGTAGCTGGACGGGAACGAGGCTGGATGCTCCTGTTTGGCTTTTATCAAACTAGGGATGATACTAAAACCAGCACCATGGCCGAACAAGCAAAGTAACAGACCAGAAATTGATACATTTGTGTTGCTGAACTGCGAGAGCAGCACTAGAGAAAAGCCTCGCAAAGAGAACAAACCAGCAAATGTGATCTTTGGCCCAAGTATAGAGTTCAAACTTGGAGCCAGAAGCCCACCAGAGAACAAAGCGATCATGGCATAAGGCAGGAATTTGAGGGGGTCATTCTCCATGCCTTGCGTGTGATAGGACGCAAAAGGTAGCAGAGCATCAAAAATAACCATGCCAGGTAAAGCATTAAAAAAGAGCAGAGTTGAGAAGAACACTTCTGACTCACTCTTCGCCTTCAAAAAGGAAGGACTCTTCCTCTTTATGTCTTCCTCAATGTGCAAAGAGATCATAGTAACGGCCGCGACCATAATGAACGTGCTTCCTGCTAATGTAAGACCAGTTCCGAGACTCTTCGCATCCAACGAAGTGAAATCAAAAACAGAACCAAGCGCAATGCACGCCGCCGTTCCAGATGAGAAACCCATAGGCCCAATTGCACTTCGAGCAAGCATATGATTGGGAAAGGCCCGTCCAACCAAAACAACAACGGCGAGATAGGTCCAGCCGACCCCAATTCCCCCCAAAAGCAGCGAAAATAGAATCCAAACGAAAGACCCTTTAGACAGGAAGGCACCCGCTATCGCCACAGCAAAGCCCCAGAGCATTGTACCCCATGCAGCAACAAGATGGACACTTCTCTGAGTCATTAATGACGCGCAAGTGCTTACCCCAACACAGAGCCCAAGGCAGGCTGCTCCAAATGGTACAACGGACCAAGGCTCCGATACGCCAAGAAGCCGGGACAGCTCCGTTTGAAGTACCGTGAGGGCGTACACGGTCCCTACGCAGAACATGTTTGCGAAACATGCTAGGGAAATGGTAAACGGACGTGGGATGGCAATCAAAGGAGGTTGGCTGTTATGTGCCATGATTTTGGATACTGGGATCTTTTCTGAGATGTAGGGAGGAGAAGGGGAATATGCCGAGTTATGAGGGTAGTAGGGTAGTAGAAATGGATTTAATAGTGGTTGCAGGTCATCTCGTTTGAACATTCTAAAAAAATTTGTAATCATTAATGTCTTACGTTTCCAAACCAAGCTTAGTGGGCGGCAAAACAACCGGTGGAATTGCCGCCCGCCGACCCACATTGCACCATAAAGTAAGTACTATCATTGTTCATGGCTATCAAGGGAATTTTGTATTGTTTTCTGTTCAATAACTGTTATCTACCTCCACTGAAAATTCAAAATTTGACGCCAACGCGCAAAGTACGCCGGCCATTCCTGAAACTCAAGAGTCCTTGAAAATCACAGGGTCTTTCCGAGAGCGATTGACCTGCAATTGGAAGACATCTAGTCTCTGATATCCACCGACAACATCATGATACTGTTTTCCCTCAATACAATCCTCGAGGTTCATATCGGCGTAGATTATATTCTCCTCATTCTGCAGATACTCAATAGGTTGTTGAATGTTGGTCTTCTCGTCCACTATAAAAGCAGGAAGAGGGGCACCCGTTGGATCCAAAAACATGCTTACTCCTCGAGGAGACTCTTTCAGAGAACGTTCCACAGTCTCATGTGAAGTAGAGCCTTCTAGTATAGTGTCGATGGTCTCCTGGTTGAGAAAGCTACTGCACATAACACCAAACGACTTGGCCTCAAAACAATGAGCTGCGGCTCGCAGACGATTAGCGAGAACATTATCGTAGTTGCGTGGGACGTGGTCAGGATGATCATTTGCTGATTCGGAACTTGGCTTGGGCGTTCTAGTCGGCCAGATAGATGGCCATGACGATATGTGAATCTGTTCTTTCTGGGCCATCAAAGAATACCGCGCCAGTGGGTTTGTATTTTCCCCGCATATAAGCCCTCCGATACGACCATATGGGGTATCAGCCACCCGTAGCCCATGGCCATCGCCAAGGCTCCACGTCAATTTTTCGAAGAATGTTGGCATCAACTTCCGGTGGTGGATGGCGACTTTGCCATCAACGTTTATAAGTAAGTTTGAGTTGTAAAGACATGCTGTACTAGCATGGGCCTTTTCGGACATGCCCATGCTAATAACTGTTTTAGTTTCACGAGCCGCATCCTGAAGGGCTTGAATCTCTGGGCCATCTGCGTATACCGATTCCTGGACGAGACGTTTGAAAAGGTCGTGGTTCTCGGTGGGGGGGACGTAGCGCGCTCCAAAGAGGAAATGCTGAGATGTAGGACTCCGGGAAAACAATCACGTTTGCTCCATTTCTGGCCGCTTGATGGATGAGAGAGATTGCTTTGTCGGTTGTCTTCTGGGATGAGAGAAATTGAGGTGCAACATGGCAAGCAGCAACACGAGTAAAAGGGAGAGTTGACGCCATGTTTGGATTGAGTCAAGAAAAAAGCGTGTTTTCTCCCATTCACGAACGAGTAACGTTATTTTAAAGGACTCAGCTATCTGCGATGCTATCACTGCCTCACACTAAGGGGGTCCTTGTTAAGCCATAAAAGGACGTAGGGTGAAATTGCCGCATCGTCATGGTGGGTTGCTGGTTTCCGCAATAGCCGCATTTTCCACGTCTCGCGATAGGTTGAGATGAAGAAGAGTGATGCTAGATTTGCACCTTTTAGTGGATTCATCCAAAAGCACACCTTTACCTTCAAGCAACTCCGTATACATGGAGCTACTAGACGACAGACAAGCGGTTCTCCACATACGTGGCAGCCATAGATAGGGACGTAGGGCGGCGTTGCCGCCCGCCACAACTAGGAGATACAGTGACGCAGCAAAAGTTTTAACACCCCTACCGATACCGCCTTCCAACATAGGTATACCGCTCGCCAAGGTTAAGCCCCCGCTGGTTGAGGATCGTACTGCCAGCAGAACCTTTTACTGGGGTGTTAAAACTTTTGCAGCATCACTGTAGTCAACGCGACAGCCGGTTTTGAGGAGTCCTGCCACTGATGAAATCTCGTAAAGGCGTAATATTTAGTGTAAATCCGACCATTCAGCACTAGGTAAATGGCCTGAAACTCTCAATTTGGAAGTTCTAGTCCACCAAATTTATCTTCTGTTACATGAGCTTCATTGGCGGATGTGACCACCATAGAGTGGGGTGTAGAGAAAAGGAATAGTGCATTCTATACTAGAAACAGATCATGGACCAGGAATTCTATCTGAAGAATAAATTTACACATTGCTTGCAAAATCCAAGCCGAACCTCTCATGTCTAATCATTGCCACACCTAACTGTCCCCCACATTGATTTATTCAATATTCTTCTTCTCCTGGGAGACTTTTATTGCGCTTGTAATAGAGTGGGCGTCAATGGTGTCTTCTTTGTCAAATATCAGGGACATCTGTTCCAGAGATCGCCCCCGGGTCTCTGGGTAGGCGAAGAAGACAATCAAACAGTATACTACCAGAATGACCACATAGACGATATAATACTTCCAGCCAATAGCCTCTAAGGCGATAGGGTTGACGAAAATATTGAAAATCACAGCAATAATGCATGACATCCAGGTAATCATCAGGCCGCGAGACCGCAGCCGGAATGGCCAAATTTCACATGGATATGAAGTGAGCAGTGGTGTTCTAAGACGTAAAGTTAGCCGATTATCCACAAGCAGGTAGAATCCATGTAAACTCACAAGGCAATATCATAGCCAGCAAAATATACGAAAACGAACGGCACGAAAGCAATGCCCGTTGCATGGTTTCCGGTTTCTGCAAATGAGCCATACAGCCCCGTCATTAGGATATAACTAATCAACATGATGGCACCCGAGAATAAGAAAAGGGTTCGACGGCCCATACGGTCAACGGAAAGAGCTCCAAGAAGCGCAAACATCAGGTTCCAGATTTGGAGACAGGCTGATATGAGGAGTTGATCTCCTTTTTTTTTGACACCGACGGATTTGAGGACAATTGCCAGGTAGTATGATAGAAGACCATTACCCACCCATTGATCGAAAAAGCCAAGGGTCACAGAAATGAAGAAGCGATGACGGTTCCCAGGAGTGCGGACCATCTCTGCATATCCAGATGATTGCTCAGCCTCAATCTCAGCATGGATGCTTCTTTGAATAGATTGAAGTTCATCTTCCACCCATTCAATGGTAGAATCACCGCCAGCATGGATTCTAATGAGAGTCTGTCGAGCCTCCTCAATTTTGTTGGCTCCCACCATCCACCGAGGGCTTTCAGCGACAAACCAGAATCCCGGTAACGATAGCAAGGGCATAAGCAGCTGAAACAATGATGGTATCCTCCATGCCCAGCTTGAACCGAGCGTTCTAGTGCCGTAGGTCACCCAAGCGGCAACAATGCTGCCAAGATAATAGCAAGTCATGAACAAAGCCGTTGCTATGCCTTGATGGGTGGGATAAGCAACTTCAGCAATCAGTGCGGGGCCTGCATTGTTCATCCAACCCATACTAGCGCCTGCAAGAGCTCGCCCGGCCATGAAGACAGCACGACTTGGAGCTGCGGTTTGAAGAACAGTTCCCGTGAGCAAGCAGACATAGCCAAGCCAGATGGTCTTCTTCCGTCCGTATTGATTAGATACCCAGGCGGCAGCAGTAGCTGTCACTGCAGCCCCAATCCAGTAAAGCGTGTTGATGAAGCCCAGCCATGTGCCTTCTGGGCCTCCCATGAAGTCCAGATAGATAGGAAGAGACTGAAGACCGTTGAGGAGGGAGCTATCGTAGCCATTGGCCGATGCTATCGTTATGGATCAGTACGGCAATGGTAGACTTTGCAAAGGCGGCAAGGCACTCACACAAAAAGGTCAAGGAGATTAGGCACAGATTGAGGCGGATCAAACAAGGGGTTGACCACCAGCCTCTGGCAGGCACAGAGAGAGTCATGATTTCTTGGAGGTTTGCTTTGGAAGAGATTCTCGCGTAGAAAGGGAAAAAGCTTACACAAGGCAGAACAGACAAGGTATCGTATGAATTGCCACCGGAGTAGGGAGACGCGATGAGGAAGTATATATATTGCCATCTTATCTGGGGTCTCCGGCGTCCCAAAATAATGCGGGGATAGCCTTTGCCACGGTGCTGAATATGGGTTGTATCTTTGCCTCAAGACAAACCGAAAGATAAGAGCCGAGATGGAGCCGGGGGTGCAGGCGGCAATTAGGCGGCAATTCCGCCCCGATGCTACCGGATGTACGGGTGGGTCAATCCCAATTCGGGGATCCAATTAGGTTGGAAGTTAGGGGCACAGCGGTATATAAACTAGCTTTGATGAACGAGATTAAATATTTCGAACTCTTTCCAACAGAAGATTGATTCGTTACACTCACCATGAGCGACCCAAATGGCCTGGTCAATGGACTCCTGTCGCAGCTTTCCCTTGCTGAAAAATGCGCCCTACTTTCTGGCAAGAATATGTGGGAAACTCTCGATCTACCTCGACTGGGCATTCAGTCTCTCAAAACAACTGACGGTCCGGCCGGAGTACGGGGCGCGAAGTGGACAGATGGATCATACACCACGTTCATTCCCTGTGGAATATCCTTGGGTGCGACATTTGACAGACGTATCGTCGAGCGCATCGGTTCTGTTCTTGGAGCAGAGACTCGTGGCAAAAGGGCACATATCCTCCTGGCGCCGACAATAAACTTGAGCCGATCCCCTCTGGGTGGTCGGAACTTTGAAAACTTTGGAGAAGATCCGTTCCTGACTGGCATTATGGCCACTCAGTACATCAAGGGTATCCAGAGCCAAGGTGTTGGCGCATGCATGAAACATTTTGTCGCCAATGATCAGGAAACACGGCGCTTCAACATGGACGAGCAGATTGACGAACGAACTTTGCGCGAAGTCTATTTGAAACCATTTTACATGGCGTTGAAAGCGGGCCCGTGGGCAGCCATGACAAGCTATCCCAAGATCAACGGGGAACATGCAGATACCAGTCGACATCTGGTACAAGAAATCCTCCGCCAGGAATGGGGCTTTGATGGCCTGGTCATGAGTGACTGGGGTGGGCTCAACTCCACGGTACAAAGTATCAAAGCTACCACCGACTTGGAAATGCCAGGACCGCCGTTGAGACATGGTCCCGCATTGGAAGCTGCCGTGCAGAACAAAATGATCTCAGAAGAGAAAGTCGATTCTTCCGTGCGAAGACTTCTGAAGACGCTTGAAAGAGCAGGCCTCTTGACCAGAGTTCAGGATACCAAACGTACTCCTGTTGATATCGGTGAAGATATCAAGGGAGGCGAGGAAATCCTTGACAGGCCGGAATTCAGGGCTATTGCCCGCGAGGCAGCCACTTCTGGGATTGTCCTCCTGAAAAATGAAAGCCACGCACTACCTCTGCAGCCAGCAAACCTCACCAAAGTCGCCATTATCGGACCAAATGCCAAAACTCCGACGGCAGGCGGCACTGGAAGTGCTATCGTCAACCCATACTACATCACAACACCTTATGACTCTATCTCCGAACGGATTCAAAAGAAAAATCAAGCAACAAAGATCCGATACGAGCAAGGCATTCTCACCCATCTTCATCTTCCTTTGCTTGGGGATATCTTGACCAGACCGGATGGCACAGCGCCTGGAGTTCGGGTGGACTTCTATCACGGCCACGACTTCGCAGGCGAGATTGTCGCAACAACCTACTGGCAAAGCTCTATGGTCTATCTGATGAGTGACGGAGATATCCCTGGATGTTTCAGGGGAAAGCCATATTGCTTCCGAGCTTTGGGGCGGTTTACACCTTCTGTTAGTGGGATATATGATTTCAGCCTCTCCAACACAGGAAAAGCCAAGTTCTTTGTGAACGACGATTTGCTCATTGACAATACGGATTGGAGTCAAATATGTGCCAATTTCATGAATTGTAGCAGTCCAGATAAGCTGAACTCCATGTTCCTTCATAAGGCTACCACCTACGACTTCCGAATCGACAATGTGGCGGTACCTCCACCAACTCGGCCACATGACAACACTCTCTTCCACCGGATCGCTGGAGTGAAAGTTGGAATGCTCATCCAGCATGACGAGGAAGCTATGATGTCTGCTGCCATTGAAGCCGCTCGCGAGGCGGATGTCGTTTTGGTCATTGCAGGCCATAATAATGACACCGAACGTGAGGGCTGTGATCGCACATCGCTCGATCTCCCGCGAAGAACAGATGAGCTGATCGGGAAAGTTTGTCAAGAGAATGCTAATACCGTAGTCGTGACCCAATCGGCCTGTGCCATCACGATGCCTTGGGCCAACAAAGCACGGGCTATTGTTCACGCTTGGTACCAAGGACAGGAAAATGGAAATGCCCTGGCCGATGTCTTGCTGGGTGATGTCAACCCATCTGGCAAATTACCTGTCACTTTCCCTCACAAGCTGGAGGATCACGGATCTCATAACTGGTTCCCAGGCGATGCTATCAATGACCACGCTGAGTACGGAGAGGGTGTCCTGGTTGGATACCGCTGGTTTGATCGACAAGACATCGAGCCACTCTGGCCATTTGGATACGGATTATCATATACATCTTTCCAGATTACCGACTTGCAGGTTGAGGGCAGGGCCGCCATTGATGGGTCGCAAAGCGCCATCGTTTGCGGCACTGTTACGAACACTGGAGAGGTACAGGGAAGTGAAGTTGTTCAAGTTTACGTGTCATCATCTTTCTGGATAACCAAGAAGGACAAAGCCCCCAAGTCTCTTGCTGGCTTTGAAAAAGTATCTCTTCTGCCGGGAGGGGCCAACACATTCCGCATCAGCATGGATTGTAATGCTGTAGCCTGGTATGATATTGAACGGCAAGATGAAGAAAACCAAACTGGGCAATGGAGGATCGATCAGGGAACATACCAATGCTATGTTGGATGTAGCTCTCGTGATATTGCCGGCGCAGTTGACTTTGTCGTGGAATAAATTCGTTCCAGGCGTTCGTGCTTCTTTGTAATATTTACACAATGTACTTTCTGTTACGTGCTGTAAAAAAACTGCTTGTTCTCCTGAGTTAAATGAGACTCCTACTAGATAGGCCTTCTATTCCACATTTTAATTGAGTGAAGTCGTACTGCTGATCACAGACAAACTTCTTAGCCACCAAGCCCATGGATCACTTGGGTCGATGCTATGCTCAGAGCAATGGATCCTATCAGATTGTGGCCTAGTTCCTCAGACCCATTGGTCTGGGGCATGTCAGGCAATCAGTAAATGTTTATTAGACCATAAGGAGCCACATGTAATCCAATTACTTATCGGGCCCTACCACAATTTACTCCGAATTAGGGCGACAAATGTTATCTTACGACGTTCGATTATGTCCGTCTAAGCGTATCTACTCCGAAGTTGGTGCCATTCTCCGCTACTACTATTTCTAACTTATCTAGGCTACTATAGATAATTCTCTATATATATTAATATATTAAGGTGCCTAGAAAGGAGATACTGTCCAGCTACTATATTAATAGTATAAACTAAATAATAAGGAAGAAGAAGATATTTTAACGATATACCTATTCTCTCCTCGCTCCTACGATGTCACGTGCCTATATCACATGACCCACCACCTGCCTATTTCCTATACACTATATAGATAGCTTCCTCTCTTTTCTTTCTTTTCTAGTTTTGTTACTTTCGTCCAATACTATATAATTGTTTTATTTATCTAAGTTCCTTATTTAATAACAAAACTTGTTTATCACTTCTTCTTTGAGTACTATCGTTGTACAGGTATATACTTACCTCTGTATAGCACCTACCTTAACTAATCAGGATTCTTAATATTATAATACTAAGATATAATCAACAGTTAGTTATAATAGTACAACCTACTTAGGATAAAGCTAGTCCTTTACAAGCCTCCCTAAAGGTTAGAATTAAAACCAACAGTAAGAGTAATATAGAGTATCCTGATACTAAGATAAACCTGAATTTAAAAGTTTATAAAGATAAAGAAAAATAATAAATCTTCTTCTTTATAAACTACCCTATCCTTCTGACTAATAATAGCAATATAACTAATAAGGCTATAGAGTTTACTTATAGAGCAGAACTTAAGGAGTACCAAGAATATAATAATTAATACTATAACTATTTGTTTAAGGACTAATAGGTAGCCTATAATATCTATTTCTCTACTTATAAATAGCTATTAGAATAATAAGCTATATCTTATACTTAGGATATCTTATTTTAGTAGATCTAAACAGAGATTATTATTCTTATAAACTAAATCTAAACTATTACTGTAGAATATAATAAGCTTAAGCAGAACCTCTAAGTGTCACGGGATTCGAAGTATACGATACCCCGGACTCTCGAGGCCGATTCATGGACGAATCCCCTTTGAGTCACCTGTATATCGATATCCACCCGAACCCTAATGTATTTAAGATCCTATAAGCATTCTGGATTCTTGATCTTCTTAAGAATCAGTCTCTGAATTGACTGCCCAATCTGATCTCTACCGTCCGATATCCTTGCCTAGTCACAGGTCTCTAGCCTGACAACTTAGTAACCATTACATATAGATTAATAGGACTAGCTACTATAGTATATAGGATAGGACTTACTTAGTATACTATTATTTAGGATAACTATAAAATTCTTAATTATACTAAAGCTAATATATAGGAGAAGCTTACTAAGATATACTACATATAAATACTAAATACTAAGATACTATCTGGTATAAGATAGAATACTCACTAGCAGTCTATCAAGCAGACGGGTCAATCACAGACAAAATCACCATACTTACAGAGTAGAGTAATAGACAAAGTATAATACTATTAAGATATAACTAATAAGATATTTAAGTCTTTATAGATATATAATACACCGATACTATAACCTTAGCCTTAGTAGCCTTAGCAGAAAGAATAATTCATTAGTAACCCAAAAGATAGTTAGTAAACTAACTATTATCAAGGGCTTATATACTATATATAAGGCCTAGGGCCTATAACGTCACCTAATATCACCAGGGCAATTCCCCCACTATACTAATTATTTTTTATTATAGTATAGTACTATTCTATTTTTATTTACTACTAAAGTATAATTTTAAATATTATAATCATTATATATATACTAACTAGTTACTTAGTTAATAGTCAATAGTTACTAAATATACCTTATTATTAAGTATAACTTCAATATATACTAAGACAGTTAGAAATAGTATCTTCCGTATACTACTAGGTAATCCTTAAGTATTAATTTATAATTATACTACTGCTTTACTAAGGCTTATATAGACTTAGATCCTATTAAATAACATTAAATAATGTACTAGGTAGAGTACTAAATAGGTTAGTCTAAAGATCTCCCCTACTTATAAGAGGTTTATTATAAAAGTTAAAACTAAATAAAGAATAATCTAAAGAGTATCCTATAGTAACTTAGATAAATTAATTATAGAGAACTAAATATATATTATAATAGGGAATTCCGCTCTTAATATCAGAGTAAGGTAATAGGTAGACCTTGCCAAAGCCCGTGGGCTTTTGGGCCCGGGCCTATCCGGGCCGCGGGCCTAAAAGTAGGCCCACGGGCCGCTAGTCACGGGCCACAGGCCGCTAAGAAAGCCCGGCCCGTGGGCTCGGGTCTAAACTTAAGGCCCACGGGCCTTCAAACAAGACAAACACAAGAATACATAAAATATATTGTATTTTTAGTAATTTTGAGTGTATAGCTACGTATAATACTAAGCTTATAATCCCTATGGCCAATTTGTTGCAATCCCCATCGCCAATTTGTTACGATCGCCATGGTAATTTGTTGCAATCGCCATGGCCAAATTGGTGCAATCCCCATGGCCAATTTGTTACGATCGCCATGGCCAATTCGTTGCAATCCCCATCGCCAATTTGTTGCAATCCCCATCGCCAATTTGTTACGATCGCCATGGTAATTTGTTGCAATCGCCATGGCCAAATTGGTGCAATCCCCATGGCCAATTTGTTGTAATCCCCATCGCCAATTTGTTGCAATCCCCATCGCCAATTTGTTACGATCGCCATGGTAATTTGTTGCAATCGCCATGGCCAATTCGTTGCAATCGCCATGGCCAAATTGGTGCAATCCCCATGGCCAATTTGTTACGATCGCCATGGCCAAATTGGTGCAATCCCTATAGCTATCGCTGGCCGTCGATTATTATTTTGCAGGCAAAAAAGGGGTATTCGGTAACCATTGCCTATATAGCCTTGGTGTCATGCATTATAGTGTATTATTACATAGTGGCTTTATTTAACCAATAATATTGTAATAATATAATTAGTACTATAATTTAATTGGTTCAGAAGTGGGCCCCTAGGGCCTATGCCCCGCTTAGGCCTATAGCCGAAGCTCTTAGAATTTTGAGAAGAATAGTAGTAGTGCTACCCTCCGTGTCAAATATATATCTTCATGTTCAAAATCATCAAATAACTAAAACTAAAATATTTTAATTTCTACCGGTCAGAAGTACTTCAAACTTATAATATATATAATATATATTTTTACTACTATATGAATAAAATTTTAAACAAAAATATTAATATTTAGTATATAAAACGCGTCGGTAAAATATTTATAAATTATTATCATTATATTCTAGGCACACGTACTAGGCATACGTACTAAGCACACGTACGAAGCACGCGTAGGTAATATTACCAGAATTGACAATACTAGATAGATAATAACTAATAGATAGTGCTCACTAAGCATGAAATACCTAAAATCTGACAATACTAGTACTAAGCACGGGTTAGCCATGGCGATCGTAACAAATTGGCCATAGGGATTACAACAAATTGGCCATGGCGATCGTAACAAATTGGCCATGGGGATTGCATCAATTTGGCCATGGGGATTGTAACGAATTGGCCATGGCGATCGTAATAAATTGGCGATGGGGATTGCAACAAATTGGCCATGGCGATCGTAACAAACTGGCCATCGCGACCGTAAGCTTATCTTTCAGCTGAATCCTAAGGTACCTACTGCCTATAGTAATACAATGATGATACTACGCTAAGAAATACATTAAAATTTTTATATTTATGCTAAGTTATGCTTAGGATACCTTCCTAAATAGGCAGGTCACAGGCCTGCGGGCTGTAGGCCCATGGGCTCGGGCCTAAAACTTAGGCCCGCGGGCCGCTAGTCACGGGCTACGGGCTTCCTTAGCGGCCCGCAGCCCGGGCCGCAGGCTACTAAAAAAGCCCGGCCCGTGGGCTCGGGCCCAAAACTGAGGCCCGGCCCGGGCTTTGGCAAGGTCTAGTAATAGGGCCTTAGTAATAAGACAGCTATTTAGTTTCAGAAGAATAAGCGGCATTTATTCTATAGTATCAATAATAATATATATATCCCCCCTTATAAATTCTTCTTTCTACAGAGGCTGCTAAGGCTAAGGTTATAGTTTTAATATATTATATATCTATAAAGACTTAAATATCTTATTAGCTATATCTTAATAGTATAGTAGCTTTATCCTCTTATAATTAATCTGTCTGCTATAGCAGACTACCAGTACGTATTCCTACTTATATATAGCGTCTCTAGAAAGGCTTAATTAAATAAAGGATAGCTAAAAATAAGAATAACACTATTATAAGAAGTAGGTACTGTATTTAACCCTAAGAGAATTTAACAGTAATTAAATAGATTATAAAGGATAAAGGATAGCTTAATCCTAGATAGGATTAGCCTATGAAATATTTAAAATATCAGCAGCTAAAGAGGATATTAGAGTATTCTCTTCTGCTAAGTATATATAGTCTTTATAATAAATACTTACTAATTAGTATACTAGAGATACTGTAATACTAGAAAGGATTTTATAAATAATACTAGGTTAACTATATAAGGTAGTGGTTTATAGATATTCAAGTATTAGCTATATTTAGTATTTAGCGCTATCTAATATTCTATTA